GTGGTGTAAAAGTGACAGTTTCAGTGAGGCATCTTCCTTAGTTGATAATAAAGGCAAGAAGAAATTCTAACAAGAAAGAAGAGTTGAACCTTGGGTGAGGAAAAGCTGCTCAAAGTTTAGCAAAGTGCAGAGGCCACAGGTGACCTTCCGTATTGTGTAGCTTGACTTTTTTTCTCTTTTGCTATCCTAAGATGTATTTATTATGACATTCCTTACAAGATAATCCTGAGTAATTACTCCTGTTAAATTTATGTGCCAGCTATCTCCTGAAGTCAGACTCAAGTCTATAACCAGATATTGCACTAACCCTGAAAGCAAATATTTGTACAGTCATGCTGGAAATGCTTTTGGATTTGGCCAATAGAAATGTGGATGGATTTCATTCATATTCTTTTTTTGAAGAATGTAATAGTGCATTCACAAGAGGAATGAAAACAATGTGAAACATGAGAATTTCCAATTCTGGGGAAAATGAAGCAGACTTTTCTCATCCCTCTCAGACAGCAAAACAGTCGCTTCATACATAAATGCTGCCTTTTAAAAAATGTAACTGGTGTTTGCTTGTAATTGCTCATCAATTCATGCAAATTCCCTAAAAGCAAGACTGTACTGAAGTTCTATGGATTTAACACACCTTTGAGAGACTGTCAGCCTGGAACTCATGATAACTGTTGATGAAAACAAACCTGTCTTGATTTGGTTGCAAACTCTTCTGCTTCTGTCATACAGTTTCACTGTAATGTACATCATGGTGACATACAAGGGATTTCTTGTGTGCAGGGGTGACTCGTTACAGCAAATTTAAGAAGCCTTTTGGTGACATCTTTATTAATGACTTAGATGAAGGTTTACAGGGCATGCTTATCAAGTTTGCAGATGACACCAAATTACGAGGGATAGTTAATACTCCAGAGGACAGGACCAGAATTCAAAATGACCTTAACAGATTAGAGAGCTGGGCCAAAACTAACAAAATGAATTTCAACACGGGCAAATATAAAATACTACACAAACAATGTGATACTGACAGCAATGAAGTGAAAGAAGAAGTGGCTAGAACGCATGTGGAGATGGAAGCGTAGCAGGTCAGTCCAAGCACGTCTAGTTTCTTTTTTAAGGAGTGATGATGCAGCAATAAAGGCTGCAAAAAAACCCATCTCTTACAGCCAATATTGCGTCCATCCAGAACCATCCAGCTGAGCTGTTCCGAGTTGTCAGAGGACTATTAAATCCGCCTCAGAGAGAGATCCCTGACAACTCAGCAGATTGCTGTGAAGCATTTGCTCGGTTCTTTGCGGACAAAGTTGCACTGCTCCATTCCGACTTTGACACTACGTTAACAGCAGTCTCTGAGGATGTAACACAAGCATCTGCTTGTCCAGTTTTAAAGGATTCTTTTCAATTGGTTCAGCTCGAGGACGTGGACAAGATCCTTGGAGAGGTGAGCCCAACCACATGCATCCTAGACCCCTGCCCATCCTGGCTGATCAAAGAAGCCAGAGGGGTTTGGCAGAGTGGGTTAAGGTGGCGGTTAATGCCTCCTTACAGGAGGGCAAGATTCCAGCCAGCCTAAAACAGGCTGTTATAAAACTGCTGTTGAAAAAACCATCACTGGACCCCACTCAATTAGTCAACTATTCGGCCAGTTTCCAATCTTCCCTACTTGGGCAAAGTCATGAAACGTGTGGTGGCTTCACAACTCCAGGGGTTCTTGGTAGACACTGATTATCTAGATCCGGCACAATCTGGCTTTAGACCGGGACATGGAACTGAGACAGCCTTGGTCACCTTAGTAGATGATCTACGCCAGGAGCTAGACAGGAGGAGTGTGTCCTTGTTGGTTCTGCTGGACATCTCAGCAGCCTTCGATACTGTCGACCATGGTATCCTTCTGGGACACCTCGCAGAAATGGGACTTGGAGGTACTGTTCTGCAGTGGCTCCAGTCTTTCCTGGAGGGTTGGTCTCAGAAGGTTTTACTGGGTGACACCTGTTCAACTGCACAACCATTGTCTTGTGGAGTCCCTCAGGGTTCAGTACTGTCCCCAGTGTTATTTAACATCTACATGAAGCCACTGTGGAGGCCGTGGAGGCCGTGACAGACTTTGTATTTCTAGGTGCAAAGATTACTGCAGATGCAGACTGTAGCCAGGAAATCAGAAGACGCTTACTGCTTGGGAGGAGAGCAATGTCCAGTCTCGATAAAATAGTGAAGAGTAGAGACATCAGACTGACAACAAAGATCCGCCTAGTCAAAGCCATGGTATTCCCTGTAGTCACCTACGGATGTGAGAGCTGGACCTTAGGGAAGGCTGAGCGAAGGAAGATCGATGCTTTTGAACTGTGGTGTTGGAGGAAAGTTCTGAGAGTGCCTTGGACTGCGAGAAGATCCAACCAGTCCATCCTCCAAGGAAATAAAGCCCGACTGCTCATTGGAGAGAAGGATACTAGAGACAAAGTTGAAGTACTTTGGCCACATCATGAGGAGACAGGAAAGCCTAGAGAAGACAATTATGCTGGGGAAAGTGGAAGGCAAAAGGAAGAGGGGCCGACCAAGGGCAAGATGGATGGATGGTATCCTTGAAGTGACTGGACTGACCTTGAGGGAGCTGGGGGTGGTAACGGCCGACAGGGAGCTCTGGCGTGGGCTGGTCCATGAGGTCACGAAGAGTCGGAGACGACTGAACGAATGAACAACAATGAAGCCACTGGGGGAGATCATCCGGAGTTTCGGAGTAAGGTGTTATCTGTATGCAGATGATGTCCAAATCTGTCACTCCTTCCCACCTGTCACTAAGGAGGCTGTTCAGACCTTGAACCGGTGCTTGGCTGCTGTGTCAGACTGGATGAGGGCTAGCAAATTGAAATTTATGTTTAAAGTGTAGTTTTACTATTGTAGTTGTAAGGCATTGAATTTTTGCCATTATCTATGTGTTAACCGCTTTGAGTCCCCCTAGGGGTGAGAAAAGTAGTATATAAATACTGTAAACAATAAATACTGCAGCTAAAAATGCCAATGGGACTTCAGGCTGCATCAGAAGGAGTTTAGTGTCTAGTCTGAAGAAAGTCATGGTGCCTCTCTATTCTGCTTTGGCCAGACCTCACCTGGACACTAGAGTTTAAAAGAGATACTGACACACTGGAAGAGGATGACTAAAATGATCACTATCCCCTATACCCTATGAAGAGCATCTTAAAGAGCTGGGTGTGTTTTTAATGTTGTAATGTTTATACTAGGATGGTTTTATGCTTTATCTAAATGTTTAAATTTTATTTATGTCTTATGTTTAATGGTTTTAACTGTTTTCAAGTTCATAGTTATATGTAGTAATTAGTTATTATGATTTCTTTGTGTACTGTGTGTTGGCATTGAATTTTTTGCCATTAGCATGCTGTAAACTGCCTTGAGTCACCCTAGGGGTGAGAAGGGTGGTATATAAATACCACAAATAAATAAATAAATAAATAAATAAATAAATAAATAAATACATGTTCAGCCTCAGAAGAGAAGGTTGAGAAGAGACATGATAATCATATATAAATATGTGAAAAGATGTCATAAGGAGGAGGGAGCAAGCTTGTTTACTGCTGCTTTGGAGACTAGGACTTGGAGCAATGGGTTCAAATTGCTGGAAAGGAGATTCCACCTGAACATTAGGAAGAACTTCCTGACTGTAAGAGCTATTCAGCGGTGGAACTCTCTGCCTCAGAGTGTAGTGGAGGCTCCTTCTTTGGAGGCTTTTAAACAGAGGCTGGATGACCATCTGTACGGGTAATTTGAATGTGCTTTGCCTGCATGGCAGGACTAGATGGCTCTTGCAGTATCTTCCAACTCTATGATTCTATGACACACATAAAGCTGAAACTATTCAACTCAGTTGTGTGTGTGTGTGTGTGTGTGGTTTTTTATATCCATCAAAATCACTTTGGTATATCATGTTTGCAGATGTGAAAAGCTCAGAAGATTAATTTTGTTAGAAACACCCAGTCTTATGCCATTAGTTTTTACAGCACAAGACAACTGGTATCATTGCTAGTGGCTAACATGAAACAGAACAGAAAAGATCAACTTGTATCTTAAAAGTCTTTTTCACTTCATCAAATGGCCCTTTCAAGAAAATTACAGGCAGGAAACTAAAGAGGAATTCTGTATTCATGTTTAATCTCTTAATGGCAGCATGCAGAAGTCTGAGAGCTACTAAGTCCTTATTTGGATGATGTATTAAGTTCATCACTTTTTCAATCCCTGTTACATTTATTTTATTATTTCAGTTGGCTACATCCCATTGTTCAACCCCCAGGGTCTCTTGAAGAATTTGGAGTGAAAATAAAAAATATTATGCTACATACAGGCCTCATCCCTAACAAGGACTGGGAAAGGACAGCCTATGAAGTCCCCAGACATGACTTTAAAAATCTTGACGGAGGATAGAAAACAGTCCCAAAATGGTGGTTTGGCTCACCTTGTACCAATTGTTTCCACAAAACCAAACAGAACACATCCAGGACAATCTGGGTTGTACTTGCATCAAAATCACAAAATAACTCACAGCAACCCAAAATCACTTTAGATTTATTCCTAAGGTTGGAATTGGCACATTATTACTGGCTGTGATAAAAAGTGACTATGTGGCCCAAAGGGGAAGTTACAGGGTAAGTGCACCCATTCCTCTGCAGCGGCCCACTTCCATTGACCACCATTCTTTTCTGTGCCCAATGAACATGGCATGTGTAAGGAAATGCAAGCTCACTATGATTATTATCTCCTTTACTAGAAGAGACATCAAAGGAAAACACAGGTAAAGAGTGGGTTAATTTAGGGTTCATGATAAATCATAGTTTCCTATCAAGAAAATAAGACTAGCCTCTCTGTGGCAGCATACTCATCTTCTAACTTTGTCTACAGAAACATAACTTTCATTTCCCACAGGTAGAAGAAGGATGTCCCTCTTATCACACACACTACAATGAACAGACTTCAATGAAATTCATCCTCATTACCTCGTAGAGTGTAATTATTCCATTTGTTTCATTTGGTGGCTTCCACTGAACATAAATCTTCTCTTCAAAGGGCCCTCCTTGAATGGACTCAAGGGGGACAGATCCAGGAACTAGAAAGGACATGAGAAAATAACTAAAAGTTAGAACATTTCCTCGTCCTCCTCTTCTTAAAATTCTCTCCATTACACTCACTGTTTCACTCATCAAATACAAAAATATTCAAAACTGCTTGTGTTTTCTTCTAAAACAGGGAGTAGGTACATACTTCATTCTAACTAGCTTTTTCTTTTGTACAGAGGTATTACTAATTCACCAGTGTTGGTGTATCTATGCTTTCAAATCTGAAATCTTTTTTTCCCTTTCTTTCCAAAACAGTGAAATAGGTCAGTTAAAACAAAATCCTAGATCAGGTATAATGTTTCACTTCCTGGGCCACGGACTTCAACAGAGGGATTTACCAATTTAATCAGCCTGTTAACTCCAAGAAGTGTGAACTACAAGCCTATTGGGACTGTAAAGGAATTGATCTACCATTTCAGCAAATAGTGGCAATGAATACTGATTTGCTTGGCTCATGGTGCTGCTAGGCCCAGTAACCTGAAGTTGTAAGTCAGCAGACAAAATTGAGCCATTTGCCAACCTTTATAAAGGATTGGGTAATCCCTTTTTGCTATGAATCAGCTAATTTCTACATACATCTTAGAACCACTAACCAAGGTTGATACTGCAAAGTTCTCATTAGAAAACCAATTTTTGTTGAGGATAGTAATATTTCTCCTTATATTCTGCAGCCAACACATATACAGGGGATAGTTGGATTTATCCTGAACAGTTTTGTTCAAGATCCCACTAACAGCTAAGCTTCTTCAATCTTCAGTCCTCCTTTCTTAAAAGGATGCAAGCTTCCTTACACACCACTTGATTCTGTAAAGAAATTTGTATACATTTTGATTTGCATATTTCACACTATATACATTTTTGAGTGGGCATTTAAGCTGTAAGGTTTTTGCATGAATTTTTAATCAGAGGATTTTCCTGTTTCATCCCCAAATGTGTACGTTCAGAAAAATGATGATTCCACTAGGGTCTATGTTTCAGTCTCCACAAAATTCTAGATATTTGAGAATGAAATAAACTTACATTTAAAAAAAAACCTTCAGTGCATTCTTGGCCACTATATGTCTTAATACTCATCATATTGATTATCTCATAACTTCTTCCCTCCCACCCAAAATTTCCCCTTCCAACTAAAAGTGAACTGATTCACTTCTAGGCAGCTTCAGTGTTTGCAACATTGGCCACTGATTATATAAATAATTTTTTAAAGCCACAAAATCAATTTTCTCTTACCATCTTCTTCGGTTTGCACTACTAGCTCTTCACTCTCTATCTTGCCCTCTGGATTTGAAAGAGCCAATCTTAGTCGAATGGTCATGAAGGGTCGTAGTCCTCGCAAGGTGTAGTGTGATGATGTCTGAATTAGTTCCTCTGCTTCATACTTCTGCTGGTTAAATACATACTGGTAGTGGACAGTCAAATTATAGCTGTGGCAACGAGTCACAGCATAACCAAAGGGCTCCCACTGTAAAGTCAGCTGCCGGGATCGGATGTCAACAACTTCCACATTCTGTGGGCCATGCACTGGATCTGTGGAGCAAACACATTATTCTTCAGATAGGCAATAACTGTATCCATTCAGGGGTTTTTTTTTTGCACTTTGAAGTTCCTACTTTTACATCACCAAAACATAGCATATTTTTAATTTAATTAGCTTTTTTATGGGATATTCCTTCAAGTTATTTATATATAACAAAACAGATTAAATATCTGGAAGAATAGTAGGAGACACCAGAAATTAAGAGTCACTAGGTAGAAAATTCAGAGTCAGGAGGTAGAACAGCCTCCCTCATATAACAGAAGATAATTATTTAGTTTCGTATTCTATTTTCATAAAACAAAAGGTACATTAGGATTTTCCACTTAAGAGAAAAACATATCTAAAGGGAATAAAACAGTTCTAGAAATTGTTTTATGCTTCCTGATACTAAAGTCTCTAGAACTACATTAATGAAAAAATCACTATGAAACTAGAGAAATAGAAGACAGACAGATAGATGATATTGGGTCAGTTGCTTGATAAAACTACTATTATCTGATCTGCACATTAAGAGCATTTTCTTTAGTCCTTAATGGTGACACTGTTTACTCTAGATTAGGCAGGGATAAACAATATATTTCCACCAATGTAACATTTTATCTGGCTTGCAGCACCAACTGAAAAATAAAAATAATATCCAGAGGGAATGTTATTGGCTGCTTTTTTGGCTGTAGTTTTCTTTCCTTTATTTTTTTTTTTAAATGAAGGTTTTCTTGTGTCAGAGTAGCTAGTGGCCATTCCCAGCATGGGAAGCAACATTCTACTCTCACCCAGAGGGTGTTTGTTTTTCAACATTTATAACAGCAAAACAAAACCCAAATGCCTTGTATTATTCTACACATATCCATAAAAAAATACCCCGGGAATACCTGAAACTACTGGTAACAGCAAATCCTATATTTAACCATACTTGGGTTGGAAGCATACTACAGGACTACACTGGAGGACTTAGAGATCTCCAGTGCAATTGGAAGCCTACAAACTCTTCTGGGGGAAATAATATTTTTGGAGCATGGGTAAGTAAAACGATTGATATTGAATCTGTGGATAGGGGTTTGTATTGTATTTGCAATACAACCAGGTCCTGAGGTAACTTTCCACTTTCTTATTGACTGGGAGATGAAACAGAGTACAGAAAGATTTTTCGAACACTGTACTTTTCTTAAAAAGCCATGCTTCCTACTTTTACCAGGTCTTTGCTCAGATTTTGCTGGCTGATGTCATTGCAGGTGACAGCAGACAGGTAGGGCAGAGACTGTCCCTGGGATGCCTGAACCCAGAAAACATGGGAAGGCAGTGGGAACAGTTGTGGCTGGGAAACCATTCCATTTGGAAATTCTCTTGATATCCAGGATGGCTTATGTGATAAATTAATTTTCAGACTGTGTTACAAAGCAAAATGTGGCCATATGATAGAATGAGAGGAAGACATTCTGTAAGACTTTTCCAAAAAATAGCAAATCCATTATCTGTTGTTTATGTCTTTTGTCAGAAAGAAAGTATGCACACGTTATCTCCTCCCAGCAGCCCATTTGTGCATATATGAATGTTATAAACACAAAAATGTCTGTGAGAGAGTACAAGCATTGTGGTGTTTATCCATTATTTTTGGAGCCTTTCAGTAATGTCTATAGTAAATCTAAAATATTATATTCACCAACTGCTCACCATTAATGCCCATATGGACATGCCTAATGTAGTAAATGATTACATATATTTACTCATAATTCCTTCATTTCCAAGTACAATTAAAATATACTGTTTGCTAATCTATTCTTTTCCATCATAAAATTATAGAACCAACAGTCGTTTTTTATCCAGAAATAAAACTTACTATATGATATGGTAGAAGAAAAACAATCTAAAAATTCTTGCAAAACTGTTTTTTATTTCTTCTAATGAGCAATGCTTAAATGTGTTGAACAGCTGGTGTGTGATTTCTGGATGTAACAGTGATGAATCTATTTTCCTCCAAAGCCGCAGCATAGTAATATTTATTTTCATTCTTTTTTTAAAAAAGGCAAATTTGGTTCTAACTTCTAATTGTGCAATGTTTCTCACATATATGTGAAAACAGGCTTCAAATATAATCTCAAGACCATATTTTTCATTTGGGTTCCATTACAATCAACTGTGAAAAACATAGAGATGCACCCAAAACGTAGTACGTAGTGACTTTGTTTTATACAATACTTCAAATCTGCTGTTTTAATAAAACTTTGGTGGGGAGAGAAATACAAACCCCCAACATTTGAAATTTACTTCTTGGATAGTCTAAATTGAAGGACAACCACTTTGCTTTTTACCTGCAATCAATCCAAGATATTTCTGTTTGCACAGGCATTTTACAACTAACTGAGAACTATGCTGCCAACTGATGAACTTTTGTCTCAAATTTGTTATGTTGTTAAGATTATTGTTCAACTAAGGATGGAAAGAAATACAAACTATTCAAACAATGGTTAAAATGTATTTCTCATTTCAAGAAAAAATCTTAAGACTACAAAAATTCTTGCAGTTTGAAGACCAATTCTACACATAAACTAATTTGCACATAGTTCTTTGCACAGAAACTGGCAATTTCAGTACAAGATACAGAAATTTCTATGCATGAACAGGAACTTCTACTCAGGATATCTGAAAGACTGCCTCATGCAGCACTTAAAAAGCCAATGGGATTTTAGGTTACATCAAAAGGAGTATTGTGTCAATATCAAGGGAAGTAATGATTCCCTTATATTCTGATTTGGTCAGACTCACCTGGAATACTGTGTCCACTTTTGGGGACCATAATTTAAGAGAGATATTAACAAGCTGGAAGGTGACCAGAGGAAGACGACTAAAATGGGGCAATAAGCTGGTTTTCTGGTGCCTTGGAGACTAGGACTTGGAAAAATGGGATCAAATTACAGGGAAGAAAATTCCACCTGAACATTAGTAAAAACTTCATGAGTGTAAGAGCTATTCAGCAGTGGAATTCTCTGCCTCAAAGTGTAGTGGGGGCTCCTTCTTTGGAGGTTTTTAAACAGAGGCTGGATGGCCATCTGTCAGGGGTGCTTTGATTGTGATTTTCCTGCATGGCAGGGGGTTGGACAGGATGGCCCATGTGGTCTGTTCCAACTATGATTCTATGTAATTCCAGGCTTCATAAATAGGAGCACAGCATTTAGATTGAGGGAAGGAACAGTCCCACTCTATTCTGTATTGGTCAAATCTCAAGAAAGATACTGATAGACTGGAATGTGTCCAGGGAAAGGTGACCATAATGATCTTAGGCACCTGGATATGTTTAGCTTGGAGAAGAGAAGCCTGAGAGAGAACATGATAACCATGTTTAAATACTTGAAACCATGTCAAATTGGGGAGGAGGCAAGCTTGTTTTCTGCTACTCTGTAGCAATGCTGTTTTGCTAGCAGTCATGGCACCTGGCACAGCCTCCCTCCTTCCCCCATAATATGGTGGAGTTGGGACAAGGCACATTGGTGCCCTGTCCCTGTCCCCATCCTATGGGTGAAAGGGCACCTATGCCTCTTGCACTTTCCCCCATCAGATGAAGGAAAGGGTAACAAAATGAGGTTAGCTCCATTGGGGCTACCAAAATTACACTTTCCTCCCTGTTGTGGAATTCCACTTTGGGATGAATGGGGGTGAGGGTCAAGCCAGTGTCATCTGATGGTCCTTGGCAGGGCCTGTCCAAAAGAGGCAAAAGAGGCCAATTGGACCCCAATGTGATGAGGTTACGGATACAGAGTAATGGGTTCAAGTTGAAGAAAGATTTCACCTAAAAAGGAATGTATGTGTGTGTGTTTTCGTACTATAACTTGCTAAGATTATTGAAAAATTATATTGTGAGTTTCCTTAAATCCTTGCCGGAAAACAAATAAAACTGATAATAATTAAATAGTGCATTTGTACAGATATGGCTATTCAAAGTAACATTCAGAGATCTATATCACAGAGATATTCCCAATGAGAACAGATCCACTAAATCAATTCAATTTATATGAAAGTTGCAACTATTTTGTTTCAGTGGCCCCGCTCTAGTTGGGACTACCAGTGGAATTACCTTCTGGCAAATTTGCACAGAACTACATCCTTAATTATTTAACTGTTTCTTTTTTTTTTTTTTGGGGGGGGGGGGTTAATAAGGCTGACACTCTAGGATATGGTCAAGTCTCTCAGCAATTTGTTCTCCATTCCCTTCCATTCCTATTGCCTATTTCAGCATATCAGCAGACACAGCTATGTGCAGCTGTGATATAAACATTCTAGAAAAACCACTGAATGCTAGCTGAGCATGAATTAATGTGAGATTTTGTTCCACTGAACATTTTTTTTTGTTTCTCAGGCTGGACTTTCCCAGTCTGACATTGTGCATAACTTATTACTCAGAGTTTACAAACTGACAGACAGCAAATGACACATTCAAAAGAAATTAGAACATTGAAAAAGTGTTATAAAATTCGCACATTTGAAGAGTACACTAAGATTATAAGAAAAGGATAAGGAGAAAATAATATTGATTTCATCCCATTTATACACATGTACACAAGCACACACACCATGACAGAATCAACACAGTCTATGGCTTCCCCCCCCCCTTTTTTTCTTTTTTTCTTTTTTTCTTTTTTTCTTTTCTTTCTTTCTTTTTTTTTTTGGACAAATGTTCAGCCAAGACTTATTGTGGGACACAAAGCTACAGTAGCACCCTTGTGCTGGATGATAAAAACTGCAAAAAGAAAAGATACAAAAATGATTACAAGACTGAAGCTAATCTCTTATTCAAATATTTGGGGCTCATAAATCTAGAACCCAGAGTCATCCAATGCTGCGGAATGGTGGCTATACAAGAGAAAAAAGAACATTTGTTTTCATACAGAACATATTTGAAAATGTGTAAGTTGACAAATTGCATACCTTTAAAAAGAGATTAGAGATGTTTATGGCTATTAACACTACCAATACATCACCTTCAACAGCCAGCATGTCT